TAATTGAACTGTTATACTTACGAGCATTATGTAGCATTGATCCTCCAAAATGACTATAGTTTACCATATTTTTCAAAAGTTTGGTCTATACATAGTATTTTGTACCGCTGCGTCGTTTTATGAAATTTGTTATGAAATATGTGTAATAAACAATGCTAAATGCATACTCTGTCTTCGAGTCCTTGAAAATTCTGTAAATTGAAGACATGATGTTTAACAACAAAAAAAACCACCCAACTGCAATGACAACCGCACAATTTATTGTCGTTGAAAATCTTCAGTTATTTTTTAGGGCTCGACGGAAATACTATTTTGTTTGATTATTAATAATATTAAGAATTCGAGAGTGGGAATCGAGAATCGTTGTTTTACAGCTTCCATTTTATATATTTGTAATAATTGGAGGAAAGCTTATGATAAATTATGCTGCGCCGTTACCGACTAAAATAACTATTTACTATGTAAACCAGATGTATTTATTCATCAGTCTAATTATATGAGTATTAAATTTGTGTTGGTGAATTAGTAACAAAAAATAGCAAATAATGTATTGTTTGAATCAATGAGCTTTGAAATACTAATCTTTGGATTCCACTCTCGTCGAGGGTTGTGCCGAAATGTATTCCTTAAGTTACTGGAGGATGAGTCGAACCGTTTAAAGTTAATGCATTAAGCCTAAGAAAATGAAAGTAAATACTGAAAGTATAAATGTAAGTGAACAATCTATTAACGAGTGTCAATTTTTGTAGTTTTTGCTCTTATGCAAAGTTATGAAAAATTATGAAAGAAGCTTTTTTATGTCCAATTTACCCATGTCGCTGAATATATCGAGGAATATATAATGACAAAAATATTGTAATTTTTTGAAACATTTTTTCTTACGTTCGAACTGATGATTTATGTGAAACATTACACATTGATAGACTGTAAAAATTAAAAAAATGAACAATTGCTTCGTGAAACGAATTTGTGGATTTTATTTTTAATGCTTGCTTGACATACTACTGATAAGACTTTGCTTGGCATTCGGTCAGCATAAAAAACCAAGGACCAACACCTAGCTTGTATTTTTTATTGATAGTGATTGAAAAATACCGTGTAATAAATTAATCTTTCCATCATGTAAGTTATTGTGGTTCTAAAATGTTCAACAAGAAAAACAAAAAATAAATAAGCTGAAATAAAAAAATAGAGAGCGAGAGATTTCGTTATTACAACTGTAATTTGGAAATTACATTTTTTTCACAATGACCATGTACTACCTCTTTTCATTCTAAATAATAATATAATAACGATTTTTATTATTTACAAAAATGAGTTTCTAATACATTTTGTCTGCACTTTAATGTTTAAACCAGTGATCATTAACAATAATAAGATACAGAATTTAACTTTTGGATGCTAAGGTGTTCATCAATGAACACGTTGTCTTCTTTTTGTAATCTTGACATATTTATCACAATACTAAATTTGAAAAGTTAAGCAATTGGTTCAGGAAACTGTATATCGCCAAATTCATTGTGTTCGTATTCGTAAGAGCCATCGAAGCGGAAAGGAACCGCCTCCCATCTGAATTGCTCATTGATGGGTAATGGTTCGATTCCAAGATCTTCGAGCTTTGGTACACCTTTGACTACGTTGTCACAGGTATGTTCCTGTTAAAGGTTAATAATTGTTAAAATATTATTCTAATGGTGCGAATATCTTTGAAAAGAAATAAATTCAGACAATTTACTTTTTCTAATCCCTCCATGTGCAAATAACCTAATGGGTAAGCAGGACTTAAAGCTTCGGTAAGCTTAACTTTAAGCATGAAAAGCGGTGCATACTTTAATTCAATCCTACGATATCCATAATCTGCACATTCTCTTCTCAAAAGTTCGTGCAGGTAATCCATAATGTCCGATAGTCTGTAACGTTTTGGTCTAAAAAAAAAGAGTAAATATTACGAAAAATTTGATGTTTAATTCATACACGACAAACATTTAAATATAATAAACTACGTACCCCACGAATTGGTAAGTTCTGCCAGCACTTTTGTGATCTTTTATAGCTGCTACAATACCAGCAGCTACATCACCAACCCAAATAGGTTGTTTTTCCACAGTCTCTCCTTTATTCAGCAATGGAATTCCTCTGCAGGATAAACGTATTATTCAAAACCAAAAAAAATTTTGATATTGGCATGATTGCTGTTAGCCAACCTAAAATGTTGCCTCCATCTGTTTCCATAAACACCAATAAAGCGATCCTCAGTGCCATAAACATCCGAAGGTCTGATGATCGTTGCTTCTGGATACTCTTTTTTGACAGCCCATTCACCTTCCCACTTTGATTTGAAGAATTGGGAGCCTCGAGGCAAGAGAATTGGCTGGAAAATAAGTAAAATTATTGAGTAATGCAACAACCAAAAAAACAAACGGTCTTACCTTAGGTTCAGCGGTGGCATTCAAGCAGGAAACGTGAATGAGCCTATCGACGCCATTCTCCTTGCAAAGCCTGGCGATCCTGGCAGCTCCATCCACATGGACGTCTCCATACTTGAAGTTTTTGGTCTCGTAATCGCGCCCGATAAGATTGATCACAACGTTGGAGTACTTGATGCACTTGACAATCGACTCCTCGTCCCTCAGATCAAACGGATGAAACAGCACTTGGCCCAGATCACCGCACACCTTGAGTCTAGCCACATCATAATGATCGCCCCTGTACGGGATAATCATCTACAAACAAGAGCACACCGTTTCTGTCGGTCCAAGGAGTTAGGATTAACAAGTAATGTAGATAAGTCCAACGTAGGTACTTGCGCACCTGAGTTCCGATCCTCCCAAGTCGTCCGACCACATGTTTGCCAATGAAACCCGAGGCACCGAAGATGGTGCAGACGATGCCGTTGAAGGAGCTGCGACCGCCGGTACCTCGTTTCAGATTTGACAGATTCGGGTTCTTGAGGATATGGGGCTTCTGCGAGTAGTTGCACGAAGACTGCACGGCTACGCTCGTTACCGCCACGCTCTGTCTCTCTGTTGTGAGTTGACGATGTTAAGTTGAAAGAAAGCGACAGTTGGGAGGCAGTTGTTTGGTGTTGATTGACACTTACATAATAAATAATTAAGTGTGTGTTTACGTGGTGAGAGGGCACAAGAGCAGTGAGAGACGCGCGAATGCCGATGGTACGTGATATTATGTGCGTGTGTACAGTGAGATGAAAAAAGTGTTGGGACGTGGAGTAAGTTGTGGTACCTGTTTAAGGGATGTCAGATGTTCGAGGTCACACATCATAGCTACTTACTCGCTATTTGGAGCGATGTTTTCGGTATCAGCGCAGCCATCTTCGACGTCTTGGGGCTGCAGCTGCACGCACTGACGTCCCCTGGATGCAAAACCTTGCTGTTGTCGTCTCCTCTATCCTCTGCCTCTCTGCCGTCAGTCCATCAGTCGTGGCGTCTGCTACAGGAGGAAGCAGACGAGCAACTATAGAAATCTGCGCAATCAGTTTTTACAATCACCGCCATCTCGCGTTGATTGCAAACTCGGGTGCTGAGATTACTCGGGACCGCGTGCGGTAAGCGCATGCATTGGAGAGAGCCGTTGCACCTCTAATTCCCTACTATACCTACCGACATTTTGTTTAGGGCCATTCAACGATCGGTAAGAAAGATGTCGATGGATAAATCGTGGCTCAAACTCCGATGGTACATACATTGTGAAATTCCATGATATTATTTTTTTATTGCGTTTATTTATTTTTGTGGGTTAAGTAAGTACATTAAAAACACGCCAAGTGAGCATTTTCTACGTAATCATTGGGACAGAATGACTGTCGAGTAATGATGAATAAAAAATTTTCCATTATATATATATATANTTGCAAATGTTGAACTTTCCGCGCATGATTTACGTATATATATACGATTTGTAATTAAATAACAATAAATATACGGTACTATTACGTTGGATGAACACGTTGCATTAAACTAGTTTTTCTAATTCTTTGGTGCACGATTTAATTTTTGTACTTCGCAGTTTGATATTTCAAACAATATTGAACATTTGCATCTTATACGGAGGCTTGAAAATAATTGAATAAATTGATAATTATTTTTCACGTTGATTACTCATTCAGTTTTTAATTTGTTATTTAAAATTAAAACCAAGCACCTCATACTTTTGTCGATGTTTAGTTGAAAATTACAAATGAAAAAGGTGTTTTATTACGTTAGGGGTAATCAACTTATGATTGCAATTTTTGCAACCACACCCTATGAGTACCCTAAAACTTTGTAAAAACAATTGGATAAAAAAAAAATGTTTCCAAATAAAATGGTTAAATTATAAAAATGTTCAAGCTAAAGTGGGTTGTTCCCTTTTACTTTGAACCAGCAAATGAGTGTTTGTGAAATGCCGTACGTAAGTAAAATGACAAATTAATTTTTAATTGCAAATTAAAACAGTTTCACGCTTCATTTGCAAGGAAAAGTCAAAATGAGCGAATCTTCAGGAAAAGCTAAAATTAATTTGTCTTGTGAAATGAGACCCAACTGCTTGAGAAAAAATAGGAGGATTGTGAGTAATTTATAAGGGATGGAAGGAAGAAAAAAGGACAAAATGAAAAAATAACAATAAAATTGTGCTCGCGAGGAGAGAAAATTTCTTGTGTCTTTTGAACCCAACTTTCGGTTTTGTCAGCTAATGGGTTTCCTCATGTCGTTGGAAGCGAATGATACCGTGAAAAATCCTGATGATAAAATGTATGGGAAATTTTTTTCAAGCAATATTTTTAAAAATGCATTCCAGGCCCAACTAGTTATTCACATTATTTTATACTTTAATCATTTGTACATACGTAGAATTTTATATGCAAGGGATAACATTTTGATTTTTGTATGCACGAATTTTTCACCAATATTTTCCAATATTTAAAAGAACGAAGAACTAATCATTTACCGCCAATCAAATGCTACACAGACCAAACGGCTCCACGGCTTCATACAAAAATGTATATTTTAAAAAATCTAACAAAAATACTCTCGGGGTGTTGAACTTTGGATTAAAAGGGTTTCTTCCCTCATCAAAAATCGCATCGAACTGCCACTCGCGCGTACATATATATATACGCCGCTTGCACGTATAGCAATGGAAAAAAAGCTTTTTAGCCAATTTCATTGGAAAAAAAAAAAAAAAATTTATCCATCTAGAAAAAAAGTATCATTTTTTTCGTTTCGTAAATTCTGACAGTATCTCCTGTTTTTAATTAAAATAGGAAAGCTTTCAAATGCACGTACAAAACTTTTAAAAACTCATAAAATCCTTGGGATAATATTTCAAACGGTGGCTTCAATTTGTAAAAAAAAAAAAATTAATTTTTATTTATGTATAGCTATTTATCATCCTTTCAAAACTCAAATGTATGTTTTTTCCGATAAAACTAGAACTAGGCAGATTGGCAAAATTATTCTTATATGGAGCAGCAGATATAACACTTACTTACAAATCATGGGCGCAAATGGTATTTGATATACAGGTCAATTTATACGAAACATCACGGAGTGAACAAAGTAGATATTAAAATAGAGAAATTGATGGCAGGGGATAGCTTGACTCTTTTATAGTCAAGCAATGGTGAATTTCATTGATGTATACAATTTTGGCTCACCGATTACCAATTTTCAGGGGAGCGTCAATGTCCCAAAAACTAGATGAAAAAGTACTTTAGTCTTTTTTTCATTTTGCTGCTTTTTGAAACTTTCCACGTACCTGCTATCAAAACTACAAAAAATATAGAAAAAAAAAAAAAAAAAAAAAAAAAAAAAAAAAAAAAAAAAAAAAAAAAAAAAAAAA